ATGTCACTGACTCTGGGCCCAAGAGTCCCCAGGTCTTGCCACACTGCTGGCCAACCAGGTCTCCACCCAGGTTCACAGGAGCCTACTGAACATTGTATGGCTAAGTTTGCAGCTTCATTACTGTTTTTCCCTCACTTCCTCTTATCAGTGATGAACGTGGTCACCAATCAGAGTGTGTATTCCCATTGAGTTTTAGTCTTGGAAGGGCGTTTGCCTTGAGGGTACCCAACCATTTGGCTTGATGTCTCTTGGGTGAGCAACTTGCTTGTTCTTGTAATAATCAGTCAGACTGCCTATACTGGTTTTTTTTTGAATGTTAAAAATTTCTTTATTCTCACTTACTCTTAAGCACCAGCTTAATAATGCAAAAAAAAAAAAAAAAAAAATCATCCATAAAGCTCTTTTGATTCTTGATAAAGCAGTTTTCAAGTAAACACATGCTCTCTTCTCTCTGCTGTATAAAACTTTACAAAATGAAGACAAAGAACTGTGTACATCTTGCTGTAAAATGCTGCCTATGACTGTGGGGACAGTGTGCCCTGGGTTCCCTTTACTGTCCAGGTCCTGAAAGACTCTTGTTCATGAACTGTCTCTTCACAAAACAAGTCCACCACATGCTAAGTTTGTCATTCTGAGGGTCAAAAACTTTCTCCCAAAATCTTAGTCCGGTGTCTTGTCTTAGCTGCTGTTAAGTAGGCTCTCATCACTTCGTCTTTCTGTTTGTTTGCAGGCTTGGCATAAATGGCATTAAGTGGAAACCCAGGCTCTCCAGGAGTGGGGAAGTTAGTGATGCCCAGTGTGTACATTTCTTTCTCACCTTGGCTTTTGGAATTGCACTTCTGGAGTTTCTTTAGGCATTCAGAAATGTAGAGAGTTATATTGATCAAGGTCCTATCCGCTTCATTCTTAATTTCATAGTTTTTGAAGAAGACATTGGCCTTGAAGTAATAGATGGCCTCATCCACAATATCTGTATCTTTTGTCTCTCGAGGGGCAGGTCCTTTGAACTGACTTCTGATAGGCAGCAGTGCCATGTTTCCGATGAGTTTGGTGTCAGGATCCATGAGAGAAGAGTGGTAGGCCAGAATCTTGGTGGCACCCAGTCTGGAACTCAACTGGGAAGTATCTTGCTTATACTGTTTTGTATTTTTCCTGTCAGTCTTTCTTTCAAGAAGTATCTTTTGTTCTTCTAGCCATTCCAGACTGGTCTGCTTGTCCTTTCAAGTGGAAATTTCCCACTTCAGAAGATTCTGGATGCTGTTCAGGATTCCACCTATGGTCTTATGTAATGCAGAGGCTCTGCAGGAAGCCTCCTTCACTGGGCATATTGTAGCCCTATTTTAGGTATTCTAATCAGTTATAGGCAGGAGACAGACTTACAAGCTTTCTATGGTGATATTTCTGGCTATTCCTTTCTCTCTCCCTCAAGTGTCTATTTTAAAATGTTATGCCAGGGAAACCAAGATTCGAAAGACAGCCAAGCATCTTAACATTATTCCCTCCCCGCCCCCTTTTTGCCTATTCCACCAAAGGGATAATCTTGATAGATATTCTTGAGAATGACACAGGATGGTCACAGGATGAACAATTGCAGTTGTTTTTAAATTATCATTAGCAAAATTTCACTTGCATCCGATATTAATCTTAACAGCAATGAAAGCACTATGCAGGGTCTGTATGGGTCAGAACTGACTTGACAGCCCTTCACAGCAATAACAAGCTATAGTAATGTTATTGCCCAAAGATTTCCTCAGTCTGTTGGCTCATCTCTTTTGGGAATGGTCACAAATATGGATCTCTTCCATTCAGTTAGCCAGGTAGTTGTCTTCCAAATTTATTGGCATAGATGAGTAAGTGCCTCCAGTGCTGCATCAGTTTGTTGGAAGATTTAAATGTGTATTTCATCATTCTTTGCTAATGCCTTCAGTGTACCTTGGACGTCTTCCTTCAGTATCGTTGGCTATTGATCATATGTTTCCTCTTGAAATGGTTGAACATCAACCATTTCTTTTCCGTACAGTGACCCTTGTATTCCTTCTATCTTCTTTTGATACTTTCTGCATCATTCAATATTTTGCCCAGAGAATCCTTCAGTACTTCAACTCAAGGCTTGAACTTTTTCTTTATTTCCTTCAGCTTGAGAAATGCTGACTGTATTCTTCCCTTTTGGCTTTCTAACTCCAGGTCTTTGCACATTTCATTATAATATTTGACTTTGTCTTCTCAAGCTGACCTTTGGAGTTTTCTATTCAGCTCTTTTACCACTTCATTTCTTCCACTTGGTTGAGTATTTCTACACTGGAGAACAACTTTCAGTCTCTTCTGATATCATTTTGGTCTTTTCCTTCTTTCTTGTCTTTTTACTGACCTTTTGATTTCTTCCTATCTGATTTTCTTGATGTCATCCCTCTTCTGGTTTTCTGTTATTAGCGTTTAATGCATCAAATCTGTTCTTGAGATGATGTCTAAATTCAAATGGGACATGTTCAAGGTCATGTTTTGGCTCTCGTGGACTTGTTTCAATTTTCTTCAGCTTCAGCCTGAACTTGAATTGTCTGTTCCACAGTCTGCTTGGCCTTGTTTTGTCTGATGATATGGAGCTTTTCCATGGTCTCTTTCCACAGATGTAGTCAATTGATTTCTTTGTACTTCATCTGGTGAGATCCGTGTGTATAGTTGTCTTCTATGTTACTAAAAAAGGTATTTTCAATGAAGAAGTCATTGGTCTTACAAAATTTTATCATGCAACCTCCAGCATTGTTTCTATCACCAATGCCATATTTTCTGACCCATCCTTTTTGTTTCCAACCTTTGCATTCTAATTGCCAGTAATTTTCAATACACCTCAATTGCATGTTTGATCAATTTCAGACTGATGAAGTTGGTAGAATCCTTCAAATTTATCATCACTGGTTGGTGTGTAAATTTGAATGATAGTGGTACTAACTGGTCTCCTTTTAGATGGATATTATCCCATCACAGCATTGTACTTCAAGATAGATCATTATCTTTTTGATAATGAATGTGACACCATTCCTCTTCAATTTGTCATTCCAGGCATAGTAAACCTTGTGATTGTCAGATTCAAAATGTCCAATACCAGTTCATTTCAGCTCACTAATGCCTAGGAGATTGAAACTTATGTGTTCCATTTCATTTTGACAACTTCCAAGTTTCCTAGATTCATACTCTGTACATTCCATGTTCTGATTATTAATGGATGTTTACGGTCGTTTCTCCTCATTTTGAGTTGTGCCCCATCAGCAAATGAAGGTATTGAGGCCTTTACTCCATTTGTGTCATCACAGTCAACTCTACTTTGAGGAGGCAGCTCTTCCCCAGTCATATTTTGAGTGCCTTCCACCAGGAGGAGCTCATCTTCTGTCACTATATCTAACAATGTTCTGGTGTTCTTCATCATGTTCCAATATTCAATGTTCTGGTGCTATCTAACAGTGTTCCACTGCTATTCATAAGATTTTCAGTGACTAAATATTGCAAAGTAGTCTGTCCTTCTTCCTAGTCTGTCTTAGTCTGGAAGTTCAGCTGAAACCTGTCCACTATAGGTGACTCTATTGGTATTAAAGAACTGGTGGCATCACAGCAACATGCAAGCCCCACAGTATGACAAAATGACAGACGAGTGGTGGGAAAGTAGCTTAGTGGTTGCCAAGGGATGGGGCAAGAGTGAATGAGGAGTGACAGCGAATAGTTAGGGCATTTGTTTTTGTTGTCTTCCCCCTGTTTCTATTCTGCTGCAAAAACAAAACATTATTTAGAAGCAATTATGTTTAGGACCTTCCCTACTTTGATATGGCCTCATTGGCATAAAAAAAACTCCTTTTTCTAAATAAGGTCATATTTACAGAATCAGAGGTTGGAACTTTCATGTTTCTTTTTGGGAGACACAATCAATCCATAACACTTGTTAGTGTTGTCCTCCAAATATTTTCAGTTCACTATCAGGCCTATGTTAGAATTATAATTCTGTATCCCTTTGAAATTAGGTGTAGTCATGTAACTTACTTTGGCCAATGTAATATAAACAAAAGTGATATAGTCTTCCTAGTGGAATCTTTTAAGTCTGTGTGATTAACCCTGTTCTCTCTGTCATAGCAATTGACAGTGTGCTAGGTGGTGGCAAGTTTATCAGCCTGGGTCCTAGCATGAGAACCACATAAATTCCCAGGCAATGCAGGACTGCATGTGAAATGTGAGCAAAAAACTTTCCAAAACAAGCAAATAAAAAATGTGGCGCTTTTATTCAATGAGATTTTTGCAGTTGTTGGTTATTGCAATATAACCTAGTTTATCCTGAGTTACAGATAAATTGCTGCTGGGGATGGGATACTGTTGCAACAACAAGATATATAAATCATGTGGTTTAAGAATTGTTGGTAGACAGCCAGAAAGCTGATATTGAAGGCTGAAACAGCTCCACAGTGTCCGGCAGCAAAATATTTGCTCATTTGTTGTCTGTAAGAATTTATAAGATAACTAATAGGTGTAAGCGATTTGCAGTTATAGGGAAAAGGGTTGAAAAACAGAAGATGTTGCCTGGTTCGGGCTGCATTTCACAAGGCATTACAAAGAAGAGAGGAGCTCATGGCAATTTTGTATGCAGGACTAAAAGAGGATATAATGTTAAAAATTGGGACGTTAAAGAGTTGGAAAACACAACTGCTTTCAGTCACTTCCACTAAAAGATAAAACAGAAAGAGCTTCAGGCAACAAAGTAAAGCTCTGCCTTCCGGCAAAGATTAAAGGAGAATATGTAATCTTGACACCATTATTAAAACCTCTGAGAAGCCTTAGTAAAAAGTACATGTTATAAAAATAAGGTTCACTTGGACAAAATGGTTTTGGGAAAATGGTTTAGAGGGAAGAGACTAAGCATCTGGTTTTCCCACTGATGCTGATGTCTAATAACCTGTGAAGGAGCTCCAAAGATATGCTTAGCAGATAGAGGCTTCTGACAAAGATAAAGGCTGGACTCTGTTTTTGTTTGTTTGTTTTCTGTTTATTCTGAACTGAGTTTTTCAAAAGTGACCCTTTTCACAGCATACTCCCGGGAAAAGTATTCTCTGAGGTTGGCCTTCCAAGATTTAGTCGAAACAGAAAAAGAAAGATTGAGTCCAGCCTTAACCTATGCTCCACTTTTTCCCTCTCCCTTCTCATAGCATGGGTCCAGGAAGAGAATGAACTCAGACCAGCTCTCCAAATATCCATAGATTAACCTGATAAGTAGGAGCTC